TCTTTTCACCTCATACAGGGTTTACTCCACCTACTTTTCTCTATATTGCTTCTCCACATCTTAAACCTTCATATAGTGCATTTTTGGGAAATGTATCAATTGTTTGGGAACCTAATTCATATAATCAAGCCAGCAAAAGTGAGGAATGGACCAAAGCTATGCAACAAGAACTTGATGCACTAGAGACTAATCAAACCTGGGAGTTAGTCAGTCTTCTACCCAACAAGCAAGCCATTGGTTCAAGGTAGGTGTACAAAATAAAATTCCATGCAGATGGTACGGTAGATAGATATAAGGCATGGCTTGTTGCAAAGGGTTACCATCAACTGCAAGAGTTTATAATTTTGACAGTTTTTCACCTGTAGCTAAACTAGTTACAGTTAGAATTCTTTTGGCAACTGTGGCTGGAAAAGGATGGCCTGTTCATCAACTCGATATTAACAATGCCTTCCTCCATGGCTTCTTAGATGAGGAGGTCTATATGCAGCCACCTGAGGGCTATAGTAAGGCTTTACCAGGACAGGTTTGTAAGCTTAAGCGAAGTCTATATGGTTTAAAGCAGGCCTCAAGGTAATGGAACACAGAGTTCTGTCTCAAGCTCCAGAAGCTATGGTTTCCATCAGTCAGCTCATGATCATTGTATGTTCACTAAGCATTCTTCCCAGAAAGTTCTTTTTGTCTTGGTGTATGTTGATGATGTGCTAATCACAGGTTCGAATGAAGATGATATTATTGAGACAAAGAATTTTTTGCACCAAGAGTTTACTATCAAAGATCTGGGCTAAGCGAAATACTTCTTGGGATTGGAAATGGCAAGGAATGCAGATGGTATATATATCAATCAGAGGAAATACAACATTGATCTTATTCAAGATGCAGGACTCATTAGGGCCAAACCAGTTCCTGTTCCTATACTAAAATGCACAAAGTTGATGGCATTGGAGGGTACCATGTTATCTGATCCTGAAAAGTACAGAAGGTTGGTGGGGCGTCTTCTTTACCTAAACTTAACCAGACTTGAGATCACCTATGGAGTTCAACAACTAAGCCAGTATGTTCATGCTCCATGCCAAGAACACTGGGAGATTGCTATGCATCTGCTTCGTTATCTTAAAGGATGTCCTTCAAAGGGACTTCTTTTTTCCTGCACAGAAATCTTTCCATCTAGAAGCGTATTCTGATGCAGATTGGGGATCCTGTCTCGATACAAGAAAATCACTCACAGGTTATTGTATTTTTATGGGACCAGCTTTGAAATCTTGGAAAACAAAAAAACCACTGTCTCATGTTCTTCCGGGTAGATTGTATTTATTTATCTATCAATTTATGGAGTCGATTAAAAGACTCCATAGCTAGGACACGGTGAGTCCAAGGTATTCACCAGCAAATTTTTCGAGGATGTTAGCAAACTCATTGAAAATAAAGGCGAATGGAGAGGGAGCCCATCCTAGAAGCAAATTGACTTGTAAAAAATGGAAAACTTAGCACAAATTCATGGTAAGAATAAAAAAAAAGGGAAATTACAAAAAAATCAGGTCTACAATTTATTTTTTCAAAAATCAGGTACTATATTAAAACTTTAATTCATAACCTAATTTATCTCTCATCCCTTCCCCCCCCTCTCTCTCTCGCCTCCATCCTGTTCCCTTCTCCCTTCTTCCCCTACCCCTCTCTGCGTTCGACGCTGCTGCTGATAGCATCGTGATTACGTTGCTCAGTTCGCGGCAACATCGCGACGTTGCTGTTCGCGCAGCAGCGTCAAGATACAACTGCAGTTAGCGGCAGCGCCGCGACGCCGTTCGTGCAGCAGAGTCGACACTGCTGCTGTTCGCAGCGTCGCGACACTGCCAACATGAACGGCGACGTGGTGGTGTTTTGTGCACAGCAGCGTGGTTGGTGGTGGTATTGATAGTCATCCGGCAGCGGTGGTGTTTTATGTGGTTGGATGCGACGGTGGTGGTAGTGTGTTGTGTGGTTGGATGCGATGGTGGTGGTAGTGTTTTGTGTGGTGGTGGTGGTTGTTATGATGGTGGTGTTTGTACTGGTTGTCGTGATGTCGTGGTGGTGATGGCGACGACAGGGTGAGGGTGGTCAAAAGTAGTTGAAGTGGTAGTGTCAGTGGTATGTGACCAATTATTTGTTATCTGTGACCAAATATTTAATCTGTGACAAGCGGAGTTGGTGACGGGTGGTATGGTGTGGCGTGATGTGATGTGTGACCTCTATTTGATGTTTGTGACCAATTACTTGGTTATGTAACCAAGTATTTTGTGGTATGTGACCAAGTATTTAACTGTGACCTAAAAATTTGACAATATGTGACTGAAAAATAATCCGTGACCAACAAGTTTGAAAATATGTGACCAATGAAATTAGCTGTGACCTATAATTTTTTGAATTTGTGACCTCAAAATCATTGACTAATTAATTTGA